AATACTTATATTGCATATCAGAATAGTCAACATCGAATAATCAAACAAATAGGGATCTGTCGAGAAACCTAAGAACACAATCTGAGATTTCTTAAGATTTCATTTCTTGAAAATCTTTTAGAAAAAGAGGATTTGAAAAAGTAATCTTTTGAAAAAATAAGTCTTTAAAAAAATATTGTTTTATTTATTTCTTGAATATGAAAACCATGAGGCCTTTAATACAAAATAGTTTATATGACTTGTAATACAAAACTAGTTTGATATGCCATGAAAAAATTATATAAATGTGTAGCTTTTGTATTTAATTGTATTAAATTACGAGGTAAAAAATATTTATGATTTTCAGTTGAATAAATATAAAATAATAAAATCATAATTTTTACATCTAAGTGATAATTTAAACAAATTGCTTTATGTGGATTCGGATTTTTTATTTTATTATTACTAAAATTTTGCATAGTATTGCTAATAAAATTATATTATATTTAGGCAAAGAGAGAAAATTTATGTTATATGCGAGAATTTAATTTTCGGTAGCGTTATATTATTTTCATTTACAAGGGAATCTTCTTCAAGTTCTTATGATTTATTGAAGAAACAGCTGTTTTGATAGTTGAAAAAGTAACGATCTGTGTAGCAATTTCCTAATGTACTTCGAAACGAAATCCGATAGAATGATAAATGGCGTACTCTCTGCACATTTCTTTTCTATTTTAAATATTGTATTCGCACATTGATTGATATCAAACTAAAAGATTTAGAAGAATTGGCAACTACATAACTTACATGATTTTTTCTTAATCAAAGATTCTTTTCCTTCCGTTTTATTTCTGAATTATAACTTTTTCAATTTTGATATTTCGGATCAACAAATATTTATTAAGTTTTAAGTTTGATTTATTTTATCATAGATAGTATCGATAATTAAAAGAGCGTAGAGATATAGTGATTTTTTTTAATACGTTTTTTAAAATAATTTGAAAAGTATATTGAATGAATATATGACAAAGATTGAATGTATTAAAAAATCTGACGGCAAGCTTGTTTTTGAAATTTGGAGATCATTCAAAAAACGAATGATTTTTTTGTTTAATTAAAACATAATTCATCCTATATAATTACTTGCAATGTCACATAATGCGCATCGCATATTTCATAAAAACAAAACCATCTATCGAGATGTGTACGAGAGGAAGCAAATATCAGATTACGAAGAAAAATTTCCAAGTTTATAGGAATCTACTAATTTTCTTTTATTCTAAGAACTATGGAGCGCTACGTGAATGGGCGTGGCTTAACTGGGGTTGTTGAACCTCACACAATTTGATTAACGAGGGTACGTTTAACAGAAATGACGTTTTGCGGCGGTATGTGTGCGTACGTGTAAGACAATCTAAAGTGTCACTGTATACCATAGATATATTATACAGGGTGTTATAAAAGTATCGGAACAACAGAATAACTCGAACAATATGAGTCCTAGAAAAAATGCTAAGTACTGGGGTTTTATGACTTTTTCCTGGCTATCTGACGTTCAGATAGCCTGTATATAGATAGACTTCTTTATCTATAGCTATCTATAGTATCTTACTACGTGTCAAGATAATTAAGATATTTTCCTCCTCGGAGATGTACAATCACGCATTTCTAATGCTATGTTTAAGTATCTACCGAGACAAAAAGGAATGAATACGCATGCCCAAGGGAGAAAAATCTTCTCTTACGAAAAACTATATCTATATTTAATATAATTATGCTGTATACACATACACACTGTATGTATTGTTCGAAACGTCCTTCGATCATGATATACTAGGACCATAATATTACTCCTATACTAAGGCCTTCCAAGTCGAAGGGACAGAGAGCCCACCCCCTATAAAGTTCATTGGATTTCAAAGAACACAAAACCCGGCCCCCTAGAATTTTTTGACCTGTACGAGTCTTTAGAAATTTTGAAGTCAATGCACTTACTTGGAAATGTAGTAGTCTACTCCTAAAAACTACTACTACTATTAAAAAAGAAGGAAGTTTTGGACATATGTATAGGGGGAGGATATAGATGGATTAATTACAAAAATATTTACTTTGATTTGAAAAAAGTACGATTCGTAGGTAAAAATAAATTCTATTTACATACATTCTGTTTGTTAAATTTTTCACTTTTTAAAATATTTTTAAGATGGTAAAATGCAACGTGTTGTTTGAGATATTAGTGAATATATATAAATTGTTTCCCACGTATGTAGAAAAATTGTATGTGCATAAAAGGGAAACTTTTTTCCCTTCCACTTTTTTATTCTTTAATGACTCATTATTGATCGTCATAGATTAAACAAAATTATCGTCTATAACAAATCTAACACGATTAACGGCATTAGGATTACGATATTCTAGTGGTAACACGTTAGCGATTGCGAAAACATGCAATACAAAGTGGGTCATCGTTTTCGGGAATGGCAGCTATGTAAGATTTGGCAAATGATTACGAAAGAAAAGATTCGTAATAAAAAAAGAATGATCGGAGAAAAGGAAAGTGATCTGTCAAGGTTAACAACATCTCCGACCCTCCATTTTATGTAGGGTTCAGGACTACTTTATAATATTTCCTAGAAACGTCAGCAGTTTGGAATGAAAATTGTGTCATGCAAATTGCATGTAATTGATAAATTATCCTGCTTCGTCTCGTGAATCATTGAATTTGACCGCCGGGGTGGCTAGCTCATCATAGACAAATAATGTTCAGGAAAAGGAATCTTGCCTGCGAATAAACTTTCTTTTGTTAGAAGAGAATAAATTGGAAGGAATTTTTTCGAGGCTTGCAAATGGAGCTGTATTTGTTAAGTTTTTGTTTGGTTTTACTTTTGTCATGTAAAATAATACAACATACAACGAGCGACACAAAAGAAATTAGAACCAAAAAAAAAGATAATCCAGATCGATTTCTGATGTGAAAAACTATGTAATAACAGTATAAAGAAATTGGCCAGAAGATGAACCTTTGTATAAACTTCTCAAAAATAATTTTTCGTCGATTGTGTGTTTTTAGGAAAAAGGTTGCATTTTTGTTTTTTCTTTCTTTAATGGTTTTTTCTCAAAATATGATCAAATTTCTTTAAAAATAATGTCTTTTATAAAATATGCATGTTTCACAAGATATAATTCTTGTTAGAATTGTATGTAACTTGTAGATTTTTTCATGTGTATAATTTGCTTATTATACATACATACATATATATATATATATATATATATATATATATATATATATATACAGGGTGTTCCAGAACTGGCAGAAAAATTTTTAATGGCAGATTCCTGGTATCATTCAGAGATTTTTCCTTAGCGAAAATGTCGGGACACCAATAATTTTCGAATTATAAGCAGTTGAAAATAAAGACTTTTTTGAAAACTAAACCTTGTGGAAATAAAATATTAACAGAACTACATTCTTCAGTTAATTTTAGGTAGAGTTTGCTTTAATAGAATTTTAATATAAGGCTTAGTCATAAGGATATACATAATAACAAAAATTGGGAACATGCTAAAAATGATGGCCTTCCTCAACATTTTCACTAAGGAAAAATCGTCGTATATAATGATAATGTATAACATAAATAATGAATATTACGTTGTATATAGAAATATAGATGCAAATATAGATGTCCCGAGGATTTCAAATATTACGCAGATTGACGAACGCCGACAGTCTTATAAGTTCCTCAGGATTGACTCATTGTTACGCCTCGCTTTCCAAGAAACTCGGAGTATCCTTCTGTAGCACTACATTTCTAGGGCATCTATCAACCTTCGGCGGTCCACTATCTTAAGTGTCCACGTCACAGACGCGTAGGTGATTCTCGATGGCGCAGGGAAAATGAGTGTTTGAAGAACTCTTAGTTTGGTTTTGATCGAGGTGTTCTGCACCCTTTTCTTTTTATAGGTTGAACAGAATAATAAATGCTTCTCCACCTTTTAAAAAATTTTTTATTTGTAATTTTTTTCAACATAAAATCGATAAATTCTAACTTTGTTTTTATGTATGTACTTTAATTGTGGTAAAAAGCATTTATTATTCTATTCAATCAACAAAAAGAAGAGGATGCAGAAAAATGATCGTATTTTGTCGGTAAGACAAGAGTGGCATAGGATCTCCTCAAGCACTTTCTCGAAACTTGCGATCGCTCCGAGATCGAGACGATTCGCAATTTCGCCAGATGCTGACGACCTCGCGCAAGGCCGCGTACAAGGTGCGCGTCTGCGTGTCGATGCACGCACGTGCGTAACCGTGGCCGCATATACTTATCTGCGTGCGATCGCGCACACGAGAGGAAAGGACGTTTCGTGTTCCGATTTGAACACGATTCCTCGAGGGGGCGAATTTTTTTTCAGATAAACCTCCTATCAGCCGTTTCCGTTTCCTCTCGTCGACGTCTAGCACGCATCGCTTATACGCACGTTTTCTCGCTTCCTCGCGCGGATGCGGGGCCGACGCGACGCACGCATCGCGGATACCTCTTTCTCTCTATGTCTGGCCAGACGACACGTCTGTCAGGTAAGCGACGTATTTTGTCAACTATGCGCGAAAGATAGGAGGGAAAAAATGAATGAGACCAGCGTCGCGGCGTTTTGCGTTTCAAGAACTGATGGATGCCGGTTTCGGTTTTCGCTACTCCTCGTTGATGGAAAATTTGCGGAGCTGCTTACTTCGATAGACGATACACTTGTTTTGTTAACGACTTTATAGGCTTTTGTAAACAAAAACACTGTTATGATACTTTATTGACACTTGATATAAACCTCTGTAGCTCGAATTAGGCAAGATATATCACAAGAATTGCATTATTTAATGAATGGGTATACAGAGGAAAAATTATTTTACACATATTAATAATATTAATAATTAAAACAAAATTTAATCTGTCATTCCTTTATTTTATTTCTTTTTTATTTATATTTACTGATATGTCATTTATTACAATATATATTTAAATCTTCTTGCTTTTTATCTATGAATTCACGGTATTAGGATGCAAAAGTGCAGTCAACAGTTGCATATTTCAATATCTTCCCGAGAAGAATTTTTGTCATAGAAAATTCACGAAAATCAATAATCCTCTGCCACTGATGACTAACGCGATGCGCAGCAATATTTCCAAAAATAATAGGACGTTACGCCCGACAATGTTCTTCATGGCTCATCAGGTTTTCAATATTGAGATATCAAGTCGAAGTAATTGGAGCGGAAAGTTCTTCGTGGATAGGCATGAGCGGTGCAATAAAAGCCGTATTTGCGGATGCAACAAGGTTTCCAGTGTGGTCTTTGAGGAATTGGCGGTACGATGCAGATGCGACGTGGCGAGTTACTGGGGCAGACGAATCTAGACAGGCATGACCCTTCCGGTGGATTAGGTCGCGTTTGATATCCGGAACAGGGCCGACAAGACTAGTAACAAAAAAAGTTTATTCGATCGACACTTTTCGGGCATGTAGAATATTTCTCTTTAACAATACTCCTGTAGACTAATCTGATGAAATTATCAAAAATAAAATTGTTTTACTTATCTCGATAAATATAATTATCAGTTAAGATTGGATTTTGGAAAAGGTTAAGAGACCTATTAAAAATATTTGATTCAATAATAAGATAGAGATATATTTTCATTAACTTAATAATATTACGTATATACGATTCAACTAATTTGTGTAAAATTATGACTATATATCAGACCATGACTAATGTGAATAATATTTGATTTATGCGCACAATTAATTTACATGTTTACCATGATCCGAGTGGGAGGTGCGGGAAAGTATGTTCGATGTACGAGAATTTTTTTGGAAAAAAAAAAAAATTTGGAGGGTTAATACGAAAGTCGGAGACAAGTCATCGTGTCGTTTCTCGTTTCCAGAGAAATATGACATATCGATACTCGCGCGATTCTTTTTTCTTCTTACATATTTCAAAATTATCACTCGCATCGTGACCTTGGATGATTGCAGCGGACCTGTAAAACCCGACCTGCATTAACGTACAGCGCGTTACGCGGCAATATTTCGGCAGATCCGCAACGAGAGAGACCTTGGCTCCGAAACACCAAAACACAGATTCCGCGACGCGTTCGACTTTCCCTCTCCCTTTCTATTTTCGTTTTTTTTCTTCTTATATTGCAGTCATCTCTCCTATCAAAGTTTCCTTACATAGGATACTCCAACTCGCATAAATTGTAAATGACTATTGTAGTTATGTTAATTACGTTCTCGAGGCAGATTGAAGTAAACTGGTCGCGCACTACAATATATGAAAAAATGTATATCGTTATTATCGCAAAAAAAATTATTATCACACGTTTGTGTTTTCATCGTATGATACATTTCATTATTAATTAAATGATAATATTGATACCATTTATTTGTTGCGATAAATAATTAATTTTGTGAGATAAAGAAAACAAGTTTCAATAAATTAAAAATTGTTTTGCGCGTTTTTTCTTTCTCTGAGAATCTCATGAGATATCTGTGCGAAATCAGAAGCGTAATCTCTAAAAATTTATATTGAAACGATAAGTTTATTATATAATCGTTCTATACGATTAAAATGTCAATGAACTGATCCATGGATATAATTGAGAATCTATTGCAACATTTGATTTCAAAAAATATTTTGAGTAATAGAAAAAAGTGAAAGGTATCAATCTAGGGAATGTGTTAGATTGAAAATTCTATTTCATATATAATTTAAACTTTGTTGTTGACATATTTTGATATTTATAAATTTTATCATGTTATGTGTGATTCTTTGCACTAATAATATGGACAAAATCTTGATTAAAAGAATGACAAATAGGTGTCTTCCATTAAAATTTCGTCGAAAATGATGACTGCGCGTCCAAAATCAATACAGAGATTGTGTAAGAGTCTCCAAAGAGACTTTAGAACATACGCATCATCGAATAAGGGAAAGAGGGGAGAAAAGACTTGTAAAAGTATAGAAGACAGGGCAAAGATCGCGATACATATAAATGGGCCCAAGGTTACCGCATGTACGTTGCCCTAATACCCAGATACATACGATTAAGAGGCCCAAATGGTCACGAGTTATGACTAACGAATAAACAGCTCTCTTTCTTTCTCTCTTCTTCTCTTCAATAAAATGCTTACGTAAGACCTATGAATTTTCACGCGTGTCTGTGAAACGCAATACAAGATATACAGACGTCATCGATTCCTCTCTGAAGTGCATTTTGTCAAGCATATATTTTTTAAAATTAAAATCCGCTTTCCGAATTTGTGCAAATTATATTTCTGTATTTCCACAGTCATAATTTAATTTTCACTCATAACAATATTAAAAAAAAATTATAGCAATTTTTCGTCACTTTTATAGATTCTATCACAATTCTCTCTAACTTTGAATGCAACGTAATTCTAAATTCGCTTCCCTTTAGCGTTAAACGTGATACCTGTAATTAAAATCCGCGTGACTTCCGCGCGAGATTATCATGCTGGGGCGGCCGACAACGCGTCGTCTTATCGGAAGAAGCGAGAGACGCAGGTGTCCTCTGCGTCTCAAGAATACTCAGCAGAGAGGGTTAACGATCTTCCCCTGTTCTCAATGTACATGTACGCACAAGAGGGAGATACGACAGAGATCGCGCGCGTCTGTCGTCGTCGGCGTTCCAGGATGACGAGCTTCTTGCTAATCGCAAGTCGGTGTCGGTGGCCGCGCTCGAGGTCTCCCGTTGGATTCCTATGTGCGTCACGCGATTCTACGCCACTAATTGTATGCCAACGTGTTCGAATCATTTTGCGTTAGAGGTCCGACCAGGGAAGGCAAGTGAGTAAGCGTAGCAGACAGTAGGTAGCTCAAAGGGAGCATTATAAAATTCCTTCGGCATGAATGGGTAACTTCCGATCTTCCGATTCTTGGAAGCTGCGGAAGGTTGATCCTTTAAAAAATGACGCCGTCTCAATTCACTCGAAGTTTACTTGTGAACACATGGCAGATTTCAGATGACATAGATATTTTGCGATAATCAATAGAGACATTTGAAACTTTAACCCTCTCAGCTGGTGACCAGCGGCTAGCATTGAATACCAATCCAAAAGAATCCGTTGCACTAGAAATGTAGGAAAGCTACAGGGTGCTGTTTGTCGCTGGCTTCTTTTATCGCCAGCTTTCGCTCTTCCAAAACAAATTTCTGGCTGACGAAGTCGCTAGTGTTAAATCATTTATTGCTGATAAACAAATCTCACGTATTTCTTTTCGAAAAGTTTGTAAATATCGATTAATTAATCTGCGCGCAACAGCTTGAAAAAATTGGGAACAGTTATATCAGCAAATACGTGTGTGAAAAATATCAACAATTCGACTGCACTGATGAAGTGAACAATTACGGGCGCCAGGGCTTGATTCATTCTTGAATGTATGTACTCTCAAATACGATTACATCGCATAAGAGCTTGGTGTGCATTCGAAATGCGCACACTCCGGATATCGCTTAAGAAACGCATAACGATTGCTTCCGCGAAGACTTTCTCGCGCGCGAAGAAGCGTACAAAAGACGATGACTGTGAAAATAAAATTTATTTTAATTTATTTTAATTTTCGTTAAGACATCCATCGTAAATATGATGCTCATTTAAAAAACAACTTATCTTTAACACGTTTGTTGAAATATACCGCTTTTTGGAGTGAGTGCGTATATACAAAATAATTATTTCAGTTATCAAATTAAACATATGAATGTCGAATTCCCACATACTTTTATCTGTGCTCCTCGTTCGCGAGAGTGTATAAATATGGTGAACTTGATCGGTGCAACAAGATCCTTTGGGGTGTCCTTGGTGTTGGTGCGTCATCGTGCGGACGCACGCTTCTGCATCTCCTGCGCCTCCTGAAGTTGCATTTTGGGTAGGCGAATGCGGGTCGGTTGCGTCATCTTGAAAGAACCGATGCAACAGTAATATTAACTCTTCGATTTTTTCAATCTCACGTGTGCGTAGGTAGCGAAATAAAATTGCAAAGCGAGCGAAAAATAATTTGCGCGTTAAAATAATCCCCGACTTACACGTCCTTATCGCAAAAGTGTGCACGATTTTATTTTACGATGACGTTAGATCTCTATAATCGTTTCTAACAAAAATTCTCTTTTACTCCTTTTAACTTATACTCGACTGACGAGGGTAGTAACGATAAATTATTACGCACACAGACTTGATTATCAGATTTACATATAACATGATTTTTTATATCAGCTGACAAATGTGTCCATATAATAAATGATGTTACTATCATGTGCGATTAAATATTTTTATATTTGTTTACTTGAAGATTACAGCTACTTTCAATATCTCTAAACACACGAGTAGTGTTATATTTAAGTTTAAAGAACTTTTTAAAATGTAGAGGGAGGAGGTTCAAGAGTTAATTTTCAAGATTATAAATAAATAAAAAATCTGATTTCTCGTTTGACAATATTTATAGATCAGTTACATGAAGATATATAAAATAAATATATAAGTATGTCGAAAATTTTTTCAAAAGAATTCAATTTAATGAACGAATTGAATGACGAAAGGAACAATAACTTTGAAACGACCTATATTAGAGGTAGGAAGGAAAATAACGAAAAAAATCGATACTTGTTGCGATTCTTCTCGTCGGTCAGGATTTTTCCGACGATCCTTGACGCATAAATTCTGCGTCATCGACCAGCCCTCGCTGGAATTTTGCGACGATCTTTGCACACACACACACATATGTAAGTAAACAAGCCGCGGGTGTGTTGCGTCATCTCATGAAGAAGGAGAAGGGAAGCCGGTCTTAGAACTCCTAACGTTCTCCTCTCTTTGGAATTCCGCGACGGTTCAGACACCGTCTGGGACCGACCCATCTCGGCGAGCGAGTATGAAATACGCAGACAGAGTCCCACGTGCCTAAAGTATTGCGTCTTGTTTGCTAAGACGTCCTTCGGATCGCGATCGATTTGTCGGACACGGATATCACCTGACCTTAACCCCTGTTTACGTAGCGCCGGATCCCACGTACCTTCTTTCGCTTTCAGTAGCGCGTGTGACGTATTGCACGACGATATGACGCAAACAAATTTAAGACATTACGATAATCTCGTAAGCGTTACATTAATATTTTATGAAATATTTTCCACTCTGCAACTGCTTATAATAAAATGACAAACATGTTTGGCTTTAACATTCTTGAATGAAAGACCAGTTTTAAATCAGTTGAAGAAATGATATATATATATATATATATATATATATATATATATATAAAGAAAAAATAAAGATATTGATTACGGTTTATTAGAGAAAGAGAAATGCTCACGATATAAAAATTATTTTGCACATTTATTTAATTATTAATAGAACATGCGTCCTGTCAAAGAAGATAAGACATTTTTTTTATTATTATTTATATGATTATTTATTTAGCCGTACATCAACACATTAATTGTACACACTATCTGTCTTTTAACATTTATGATATTTTATAGTGTGTTAAAGAATGGGGAGAATTGATTCTAATGGCATGGTTCTAATGATTTCAAATATCGATGTCAAATTAATTCAAGAAAGTAAAAATAAGGGGTTAAAATATATTTATTACTAATGTATTCAATTTATTTATATTTTATATTTATAAAATAATTTTATATGTTAAGTTTATATTATTATTTATATTATTTTTATATGTATTTTAAATTCTGCACCATGTTTTAAAGAGAAGGAAGTATATCCGTACTTTAATAATATATTTTGTCAATTAATGTCATCTTCAAAAGACATACATAAAAAAAATTGATTTTATAATTCGCTATATTGATCAAATCTTGTTGCAAATTGATAGTATTAACTCGGAAATCTCGAAACGCACCGTGCATTTTTTGCGCTCTCTCGTTTAAGAAAAAATAAATAATATACGCGGCATTTATATATGTATGTACATATATAATCCCACCTTTTAACGTGAATTACTTGGAACTAACGATGCGAGAGCTGGAAAAACATTCATTATACCGCCTCGAGAGCCCTCTCCATGCGCGATTGCAACGTGAGTTTTGGCATTTCTAATTCTTGTTTACTTTCTATAGCTATGCGATTGCAATTATGGTTGTATTTAACCGTTTCTCACACAATCTCAGCGCCGAATTGCTTATCCCGTGCGCCAGGTCGGCTGTAAATTAGCGTTCCCGGCGCGGCCTCGGCGCGTAGTACAAGCGTTATTACGTTTTCCGCGTTCACTGGCCTCGCAAGAGAGTCGCACGCGCGCGAAGTCAACCCGACCAGCCAGAAAACGTGAGAGAGTGCGCGCGGAGATCAAAAGAGATTTCTCGCGGCATGCGAAAAAAATATATCTATTTTTTCTTCATATTCACTCGCGGAATCTCGGTCCATTCCAATTGCGCCGCAGCCTCACACGTGCGGCGCAAACGTGCGGCACGGGTAAGTCCTCGTGACTACCTCCGGAAGGTGTATGTATAAAACGCTCTTAGTTATGTACATTCGGTGTGCTTTACTCTCTGCGTAGAAGCTCACAAACACGGCTCTCTCGTATCGTCTAATAGTGCATAGCGCGAAATGCGAGAACTCGACACGTGTGTGATGACGATTTTGTGCGGCTCATTCTCTTCATAGCATTTTTTTTGCGCGAGTCATTTTGAATGAAAGTATATATATATTTTAAGAGAAAGGATGCTATTTTGTGAATCAATAATTAATGTTTAGGTATAAGAATTATTTTATTAATTAAATTGATATACAATTAATAATTTATGAGATATAAATTGCATATTTAATTAATTATTAATTATTAACATATATTTATATATGTAAAAATTGATATATACTTATTCACGCACACACGCATACATCTTGTATTTTTTAAACTTTAGGTACCTATACTTTTTCGCCGATAATACACACATATTGTATTATAAAAGGAATAATAATAATTACAATTACATGGGACGGATATATAGAGTAACTTTATATTGGCATATTGTAATTAATTAACAAATGTCTATAGTATAATAAAAATAAAATTTTTCTATTGAGAAATATGAATAGAGATGTAAGATACTTTAGATATCGAAAGAAATAACAACTTGTTGCAAATACCATTTTGCAATCTAACCGCATTACTGCTAGTATATGTACCCTGTTAGAGACAATTCTAATGTGACATATGCAGCATTATCAATATACGTACAAAAGGAAACGGCGAAGCAAGTAAATATTACGTTTGTGTATGTGTGTGTGTGTTGTCCCTGTCCCTATTATATACAACGCCATAAACAATTTTCCATTCATTCCATTCCATTTCGTTGGCTTCATTCCGAGGCGTGCACGTAAATACGTACGTATATGCGAAAATCAATCACGCAACGATCGGAAGAAAAATCTCGTACACATAAATATGTAGAGTCCCTCCCCTTCCCCCCGTTCGTTCAACATTTCTACACATAGATACAAAAAAGTCTCTCCGTTCACTTTTACCACTCTCGTCACATTAACAATCGCTAATCTTCATAAGTCGTCATGTCGTTGCGTGTCATTTATACCTATATGTAACATAAATATTCTACATACAAAATTCAAATAGGAATCGCGTTAATAGCCGGGTGCAAAAATTAGACGCGATAAATTTATCTTCAAATCTTCTTTATATAATTTGAACTTTTCGTTTATATAAAGTATTCTATAAAAAAATATATAATAAATTTAAAAAAGCTCTGAGATATATAAAGACACAAAATCAAGGGTGGTAGAGAGGGGTGAATAAAAGCTCTTTGTTAATTTTGTAAAATAATTAGAGAAAAATTTTGAAACAAATATTTTATGCCTCTAATATCTGCGTCTAGTTCTCATTAGCCTTTTTCATGTTTAATGAAAAAAATATTTTATTCATACATATTATTATTATTGACGATGAGCTTTTTGCGTATTTTGATGATCTTTTGCGTCTAATTTTCGTGCACGCGAAATTTTCTTCGTTTGAAAAAATTCATATCGTAAAAAAATTATGTTATATATTAAATAATGATGATTTTTGCAATAATCGTAAATGGAGAAAAATTGTTTTTCCAACGTCACTTGTAGAAAATCGAAGATAATCAACTTTATTCTTGTGGAAAATAGAGTTGTGGCAAATATCTCGATAAATGATCAATCCCAGAATGTTATTCCGCTTCGATATATATAAATTTTAAATCAATTTCCTGCGCATTCGAATCATTGTTTTCGATCATTAGTTGCATAGCACGCATCTTTTTTTCAAAAGATTTGCAAATTTACACTCTTGTTATTTGCAACATACACGACACCGATATTCGAATTCATTCAAGAATTGAGATATCTGCGTTGCGACCTTCTACGTGCAACCTTCTACGTGTCAGCGGTTCCTGGAAGCTGATAAAGCCGGCATAATGGAGTTTGTGTTGTGTGTTCGATTCCCTCCAACGAAAGTGATCCCGGAGACGGAGAAGAAAGAGAAACGTCGTGAGAAACGGAGAGAGACGGAAAAAATAGAGGGGAGAGAGGTGTTAAGAAAGAGGGAGAGAAGAGAGAGAGGTGTAGTGGGCTAATGACCTGTGTGTGTTTACTACCGTGTACACCACAGAGAGTGACAGTGATTCTATATCTGCGGCTGGTGACGTAACTAGGATCATGATTGCTCGTCTCGTATTTCGTAGATGGAATATGATGGCGAATTATGCGCGAAACATCCGATGCTTCATCATGTTACAACGCAAGTTGGATACACGCAATTATACAATATGCGTCAGAAGACTGATGATTCATTAGGAACATTTGTCACCGTTTTTCTACAAATTAAGTACAACGCAAATCGTTTGATTCACGATTGAATTTGATACCGAGAAAGAGGAGTAGATGTGCGTCATACTTTATTGTCATAATTATAAGTGTGCGTTCTTAATATCTCTTTAAAAAGAAAATATCTTAAACAATTTTCTATACTGCTTTAAACAAATTATTTTACGTATGTATGTATAATGGGGTAAAAGTATAAGAAATGTATATGATAAAAATAATTTGCATTTTTCGCGCTGCGACTTTCTTAGACAGACACTATCGATAAATATGTTATGAACAAAAATTGCAACACTCACAAGGTTAAAATTACATTTAGCAATTTTAGAACGTATCATCATTTATGTAAAGCATTGGTAGTCGGACTCACATTGTTGGACCTACACACATTGATCGCTCATCGAGTTCACGGTCGTGTTGTTTACGGCGTACAGTGAGGCAATTTCAACAAAAAGGAAGAATGTAGCCGAAAAGAAAATCTTTGAAAATAAGCGAATAGGAAGAGAGAATAAGTAATAATTGAATTCTCTGGTTGACGAAAATTAATTTTGTTTTCGTACAAACTTGCATTCACGCGCGACGTCGAAAAAAACGTAGTCTAAGACCGGAACTTAAATATGTGTCTATCTTGATCGTTCTTTTGAAATAAATAATAAACACACAAGTCTCGTTTAAAATCAAAATTGATGCGATCAGGCCTAAGACTTCTTCCTTCTTGCTTCTTCCTTCATTGAAAAATTGCGGAAATTGGACTCACGCAGCGGTGGATGGAGAGTCTACTGTTTCGTCAGCTCGTGTTCTAAGGTTTTAAATCAGCTGACGTACACACGCGACGATCTTTTTTTGCACATGGAAATTGCGCGCGCGAATGCCGAAAGCCATTCAGCGAATCCGAAGCTCATGTTTAAGCTGATTGCAAGGTGCATGTGTACGGAAAAACGCAGCTATCCGCAGATGCTCCGTTCTTCTCCTCGCTTCCTATTCGTCTCATGTTTCCGCGCTGGCAGATTCTTTTTGCGTATAACGCAAGCTGTCATACGATCGCCCGGGCGCGATCGAAAGGTGAGCG